TCTTCCAGAAAAGAAAGGGAAAAAGCAGCTCAGCCATTTACAAAACTACATCAAATCTCCATTTTAGTTAGAAAAAGACATAACTCAGACCAGCGGCATCAAACTTGGATGGATGGGAGAGCTGGATAAAAATGCAGCTACTTAAACTGCCCTCTAAGAGATTCTGGTCAAATTGGTCAGGGATGGGGTCCAAGAGTCTGCATTTTTTACATTTCCTGAGACTGTGATCTAGGTAAACCACAGACTTCATTTTGAGAAACTGGTTGAGTAGTTAAGACCTTGGGCTTGAGAATAGACATACTTGAGCTCAAATTCCAAAATCTGCCACTTTCTAGCTTCATGAACTTTGGCAAATTTTTAACCTCTCTGATCCCCAGTTTTCTAATCACAGGTTGTTGTGAGAATTAAATAAAATATACTGTGGAGTGCTTAGCACAGTATCTGGTACATAGGAGGAAGCACTCAATAAATATTAGCTATTGATATTATCGTGTTTTTTTTGTTTTTTTTTTTTGCGGTACGCGGGCCTCTCACTGTTCTGGCCTCTCCCGTTGCGGAGCACAGGCTCCGGACGCGCAGGCCCAGCGGCCATGGCTCACGGGCCCAGCTGCTCCGCGGCATGTGGGATCTTCCCAGACCGGGGCACGAACCCGTGTCCCCTGCATCAGCAGGCGGACTCTCAACCACTGCGCCACCAGGGAAGCCCCGATATTATCATTATTATGCAAAGTCAAAGGAGCGTCAATTCCTTTTTTCCTAATTTTTTCATTCTTTCTTCCTTTTCTTTCTTTTCCTTTTATAAATCCAAAATAACAGTGTATTAGCCAAGATGGAAGTTTATTTAGATTTCAGACACAAGTCTGGAAGTAAAGTAGTCCAGGACTTGCCTGGCAGCTCTGCAACCCAGACTACTTTCTCCCCTTTTTAGGTGTGACCCTTATCCTCATTGTTCAAGATGGCAGCTAGAGCGCCAGCTCTGCATCCCACATAGCAAAATGGAGGAAAGAAAAAGAAAGTCAGTCTCTCTCAGTAGGAACACTTCCTAAAATTTGCTTATATCCCATTGGCCAGATGTAGCTGCCAGTGAGCCTGGTAAATGTGACCAGTGTGTGCCAGGTGCTCATATACCCATAAAAATGTGATTTATATCACAGTGTAAAATTGGGAGAAGGCTTAGCGACAATTATTATTCCCTGATATGTCTAACCCTGGGAGTCTAACAGATTCAGATCATTCCCCAGAAATCCTCTGTTCTCGATCTGCTTCTACCTGCTTACTTCTCAGGTAAGGGAGAAGCTTCTCCAAAAGGTAGTTACATGGTTTGTTGATCCCACTCAGCTAGGCTTATTTTCTTCCGAAATTCCTCCCATACCTTTCACTTCTCATCCCCCAGCTTCATTCATTTTCTTTTTACTATCCAATTGTAATAGACAGTACAATATTTTCATTGTAGGAAAGTTAGAAAACACTGCAAAGCACTTAGGGGAACTTTTTTTTTTTTAATATTCAAAAATCTCATCATTTAGAAATAACCACTCTTAAAATGTTAGTATATAGCCATCTAGCATTTTCCCCAGGTAAAAAATATATATGTATATTTACAAAGAGAGCCTAGTCTACATAACTGTTTTTAATCTCTTCTATTATACTTAACAGTATATTATGAGTAACTCTCAGTGTTATTAATTATAGATCAACATCATCAGTTTTAATGACTGTAGGGTTTTCCATTGTATGGATGTATCATAATTTATTCAACTGGTTCCATTTATCTACAACAGTGTGTTAAACCTCCTAGCACATACATCTTTGCTCATTTGTCCACCAGTTTCCCAAGGATGAGCTATGTTCCTGTGGTTTTCTAACTCCCCAGGGACCAGCAGAAAACCATTGCTCTGCTGCTGTCCCATCAGCAATATGATGCCATTCAGGCCTTGTCTCGACCCTGAAGCTGCTTGAAATTCCTTTTCAAATGAACACTGCAGACTCTGAAGGTCCTTGAAGGTCCCAGCAAGACTGTCCCCAGCAGAGGGGAATACTCCACCCAATGGCCGAGGAAAGCACAAAATACAATACAATCACAGGTGACACTGAAGGGCTTTCTATAAAATCTAAGTTACTAGAACTTTCCATTTGTCAAACTGACCTCAAACAAGACCAAAGTGACGCCATTTCTCTGTGGAGAAACCAGTTTCAATCAGGAAAAGAAATGCATTTGACTGAAATAATTATTTAGACTGAAAATTGAGTTGACAAATGACAATTCTTTAGCTGATTTTTTTTTAGGTGATTATTGATTTCTGACTATTAACTCATCTCGGTTGTGCTTCCTAAAGATCCAAACACACATGAGGTTTACACTTTCTAGACAGGCTGAAGACAACTTATAATGCATCACTCTCACGTAGCACTTTCTATTTTCAGGGGGTTTTCACCTCAATTTTCTTGCCGTCAACACTGAGCCCTACATTACAGGTGTTAATTCTAAGAGGTGTCATTTATTGAGCACATACTATGTACCAAGCAATACACAGAATGCATTATCAATATTTTTTAGTCCTCACAGCAACTCTAATGAGGTAGACATTCTATTATTACCCCATTTTTATAAATGAATGTGGTTTAAGAAAGATGAAATAGCTTGACCACAGTCACACAAGAGCAAAGAGGTGGAGCCATAATTCAAAATCAGTATTCAGATCCCAGAAAGAGTCACAGCCTCACTCAAGTTCACATAGTTGTGGAGTCAAGTCCAAAATCCTGTTCCCTGCATAGTGATTAAGAACAGGGTCTGGGCTTCCCTGGTGGCGCAGTGGTTGAGAGTCCACCTGCTGATGCAGGGGACATGGGTTCGTGCCCCGGTCCGGGAAGATCCCACATGCCGCGGAGCAACTAAGCCCGTGCGCCACAACTACTGAGCCTGCGGTCTAGAGCTTGCAAGCCACAACTACTGAGCCCGTGCGCCACAGCTACTGAAGCCCGCGCCAAGAGCCCGTGCTCCACAACAAGAGAAGCCACTGCAATGAGAAGCTGGCTCACCACAAGGAAGAGTAGCCCCGTTCACCGCAACTGGAGAAAGCCCGCACGCAGTAACGAAAACCCAATGCAGCCAAAAATAAATAAATAAATAATAAATAAATGTATATTAAAAAAAAAGAACAGGTCTCTAAAATCAGATTGTCAGAGTTCAAACCCCATATATCTGCCATTTCCCAGCTGTGTCACCTTAGGCAACTTCCTAAACCACTCTGTGCCTCAGTCACCTCATCTTAGAAAGGGGAATAATAGTGTTTATCTCAAAGGTTAAACAAGATGACCCACGTACGGCACTTAGTACATAGGAAGTGCCCTGTACTTAGTTATTAATATGATCCCTTGTGTCCCTCCAGCCTCTAAGCCATACATATTTTATTGATCCGTGACACTGCAGGTGCCGCGAGCAAAGGCCTTGTGCAACTACCGAGGGCAGAATCCTGGTGACCTGAGGTTTAATAAGGGAGATGTCATCCTCCTCCGGAGACAGTTGGATGAGAACTGGTACCAGGGGGAAATCAATGGAGTCAGTGGGATCTTCCCAGCCAGCTCCGTAGAGGTCCTCAAGCAGCTTCCCCAGCCACCCCCACTCTGCCGGGCCCTCTACAACTTCGACCTGCGTGACAAGGACAAGAGTAAGAACCAGGACTGCCTGACCTTCCTCAAGGTAAGATTCTGGGCAGCTACCAAAGTCACCAGTGACCACATAAAGACTGGCAGAACCTCGAGTTTTTGTTTAATATTTGCTGATTGTTTTTAATTATATTTTATCCATAAATGTATAAATGTGTGCCTATATATGTAATGTGTATGTATAATTCAAACATATGGTAGCAAAGTCGCCAGAGAAATCTAATAGGAGTTTGACGGGAATCCTCAAACCTTTTCTATTGCAACTGCAAAACTAAGTAACTGCACACTCATTCATTCATTCTACAATCACTTTTGAGCACCTGCTCTTTGCAGACACTGGGGAGACAGCATGAACAAGTCACAGCACCTACCCTCAGGCAGAGTAGTGAGAGAAACAGACACTTGGACAGAAGATTACAGACACGGTTTAACAGCGTGCTGCGTAGAACTACAGATCTTACCTTTTCATTGTGTATCTGCAGGGGTATTCTCGCTGACCAAGTTCTGATCACCTAGTACTACTCGTTTACAACACTCTATTTTGTTTGTAAACATTGCATTCAAAACACTCCAAACAACACAATAACATAATTATATCTTTACACATAAATCACCTCTTACAAGATATATTTTCCAAACACATTAGTTACCCTAAGGTTTTTTCCCTCTCTTTTTTTTTTTTTGGATGATTCTTCAGCATTTGCAAGTAAGGACAAGTCTACTAAAGTCTAGACTACAACCATCCCTCAGTATCTGAGGGGGATTAGTTCTAGGACACATTGATTCCTGAAGTTACAGAAGCCGCGGACGAGGAGGGTCGACTGTACTTTAAGTCATCGTATTCAGTACTTACTATTCCATAAACATTTGAATTCTCTCTTAGAAACCAAAGTTGGGGTGATTTTCATTCTTTGCTACTTATGATAAGTAGATCAAATACAAGTACAAGTGGCACTGCTACAGTAGCTCAGGAAAGGTCTTTTGTTTTGTAAAACATTTTTATTCCATCACTACTGGAAATGAGATTTACTTAAGATTCACTCAAACTAGATAACCCCACTGTCCTCCATAGTTTGAAATACTGATCTTTGTTATTGTCTTAGCACCTCAGAGTGAGTCCCCTAAGGAACGTCATTCTGTAGCTGACCTGTAAATTTTATACTTTGACTACAGCTGGAGAAGGGCAGTTCAATTCCACAAGCGTTTATTGAGTATTTACTTTGTGCCAGGCATTAGACACTAAGCTCTAGGGACACAGCTGGAGGAAGACATAGGCAGGAAGCAGTACCTTCTTTTTTGCCCTTTTCTGGGAATTTGCAAACTGGGACACTTACCCACCTGCTTGTTCATTCACTGAATCCATCCATGTGCCAAGCTGTCCACTGGAGATAAAGTGATGAGTCACTGTCCCTGTCTTCACGGAGCCAGCAATCTAGTGGAAGGAACAGACACATAAATGGGAAATGAGGACAGAGGACCCAGAAGAGAGGATTTGATCCCTTCTGGAAGCCTATTGAAGGCCAAGATTACACCAGTATATCTCATGGTCTTCCTAAACACAGCATGTCCAAGAAAACTCAAGATCTTCTCTCCAGAAGCTTTTATTCCTAGTATTTTCTATCTCAGTAAATTTTACAGTTTATTCACACATGCATTTATTCATTCACGCATGCATGCATTCAAGAAATATTGATTGTTTAAAAACTGTGAATCACTATGTTGTACACCTGAAACTTATATAATATTGTACATCAACTATACCTCAATAAAAAAAATTTTTAAAAGGAATGATTGGTTGACTGTTATAGGGGAGCCGCTATATAAGGTCCTAGGGACAAAATGAACAAAACAGATACAGGCCCTGCACACATGAAGTTTATGGTCTGATGGGGTGGACAGGCATTAAAGAAATCATAACCTATAAATATGTAATTACAGGTTGTAATAAGGACAGAGAAATCTAAGAAAGGGTATAATGCAGTAATGGATTTAGATTTGGATTCATCTATATTACTAAGGGGCATAGATCAGAAGATCAGAGAGATCAGTGGATGAATATTCAGATTTAGATTGATAACAGGCATGGACATGGAAAGGTATTCCTGATGTGATATTAAGTGAAAATTCAATGTATCCTATATGACTTCATTTGTAAGAAATACAAAATAAGCCAAATGAATGTATTTGCTAGGAGTCAGAGTAGTGGTTACGTCTTGCTACGTGACAGGAAAGAGTACTAAAGAGCCATCTTGGTGCTGGAAGTATTTTATATCTCTTACTCTGGGTTGGGGTTTTATGGATATATTCAATGTTAAAAATTCATCAAGCTTTACATCTAAAATGTTTGTACTTTATTGCATGCCTATGTATATTTTCTGAAAAGTTTTTAAAAATCAGTGTGTCTCTATGCACATATATTTTATCCTCATAGAAAAGAATCTGGGAAAAAATGTGTCAACCAAGATGTTAACAGTGGTTGTATCTATATTGTGATAGAATTCTTTCTTTGTTTTGCTTATCTGTGTTTCCAAGTGTTTCTACAAATCTTCATATAACCTTTGGTAATAAGAAACATTCAAATAAAAAGCCACTTTATGTTTGATACATTAAAAATTAAATAGGGGGACTTCCCTGGTGGCGCAGTGGTTAAGAGTCCGCCTGCCATTGCAGGGGACACAGGTCGAGTCCTGGTCTGGGAAGATCCCACATGTTGTGGAGCATCTAAGCCCATGCACCACAACTACTGAGCCTGCGCTCTAGAGCCCACGAGCCGCAACTACTGAAGCCCATGCACCTAGAGCCCATGCTCTGCAACAAAAGAAGCCACCACAATGAGAATCCCTGAGAAGTCTGCGCACTGCAACAAAGAGTAGCCCCCGCTCACAGCAACTAGAGCAAGCCCACATGCAGCAACAAAGACCCCACGCAGCCAAATATATAAATTAATTTATTTAAAAAAATTTTTTTGAACACTGAAAAGTGTTCAAAATCTGAATGAAATTCATTCTTCCTTTTGCTAAGCCAAAATTCTATCTCCCTACCTCTTCCATCTTGGCTTCTCCATCAGATTAATTTAAATGAAAAGCCCAGATTCTGCTGGTGATGGAAAATTAGAGACATTTCCAAGTTTTCCTATAGGATTTCTTCAATGCTCCAAATTACTTCTACTCCTCTTTTGGTCTTGGTGACCCAAATACTGCCCTTTATGGAGAAAGATTATTTTAGTGGAAGATTTTGTAAATAAATAAATTGTGAAAGAGTTACATTCCTTGCCCCTTACACCATCTGAGACTCCAAGCTGATCTCCATTGAAGGCTTTCAGCACCTGAAAACTGACAGTAAATGCTAACCAGGAGACTTTCTCTCTTTCAGGATGATATCATCACTGTGATCAACCGAGTGGATGAGAACTGGGCAGAAGGCAAGTTAGGAGATAAGGTCGGCATCTTCCCAATCTTGTTTGTAGAGGTACGTGACTATCAAGTCTACATCTGATTCAAGCTTACTCAGAATTATACATGTGCTACAGTGAGTAATTCCTATTTGATATGAGGCTTATTTCAGAACTAACTAAAGTCTTGAAAGAAAAGATGCTAGATGATAATACCCATTTCTGGCAAGAGTGTGGGAAAATGGGCCTTTGCGTTCTGCTGACAGGAGTACAAATTGGTACCATCTCTCGTTTCCAGACTCAAACTCCTATCAAGGATGTTGAAAATGTACATCTCCTTTGAGTCATTAATTCCACACCTGAGAGTTCATTATAAGGAAGTATTAAAACAAGTGTGCAAAGATATGTGTACAAAATGTGCAAAAATGTTCATTGTAGCATTGTGCATAGTGGTGAAAAACCAGAAATAATCTAAAACTCAACAATAAGGATTTAGTTTTTTTAAATTATGGTGATGGAAAAATATATACCCATTAAAAATAATGTTAAAGGAGAATACTCAATATCATGGAGTATCTGGTATTATGGAAATATGTTTGTGATTTATTGTTAAGTAAAATAAAGTTTAATGAGTTTAAAGTTTCAGATTTAGAAGATGAAGTTCTGGAGCTCTATTACAATGTGGATAAAATTAACACTACTGAACTGTATACTTAAAGATGGTTATTATAGTAAATTTTGTTATGTGTTTTTTACAATTAAAAAAAAATTAACTGCTTGAAACTAGCTTTGTAAATACATATGTGTATATATAAATGGATAAAGGGCTAGAAGACTATGTACCAAGATATTAACAGTGGTGATCACCAGATGGTGAGATTCTAGATAATTTTCACGTTCTTCTGCTGACTTGTATTTTGTAAATCTTCAGAAATGAACACGTATTACTTCTACTGTTTTTTTAAATCTACTTTGAAAAAAAAAGAAAGAACACATGCTAGGCTATCTACCTATTTCTCCAGGATAGTAATAAAACCTATAGCCCCTAACCTCTCTAGCCATCATTCTCACCCCAGCTTGAAGCAGGTCATTACAAATTTAAAAGAGAGGTTTCACTGTTTAACTGCACTTATTGGGTGCTTACCAGGCATAAAGCATTAAAAGCTAGCAGTGCGGAGCTATAAAAGAAGTAGAAGGTATGCTCCCTGCCCTCTAGGAGGGTGGGATGAAACAGAACAGAGGTAGAGTTGGAAGGAAGGGACCAGTTCTACCATTCGTAAGAGCCGAAGTGGGTTCTGAAGTGAATGGTGTGTCCAGAACACTGCCCAGCTGTCAAGGTTCCCTCAACCTCTCATCTCAATCTGTATGGAAGGAATGAAAGATGGAAGGGAGGGGAAGAGGAATGGTCCAGAGAGGCTGGTCTTCCTACTCTCTTCGCTAAATGATGGTGCTTTTTCTCTTGTTGAAGCCCCTTCCAGGTACAGCCACCCAATTCTCTCTACGTGTTCAACTTCACTCATTTTATGAGGCTCAGCTAGAAATCTTCTTTTTCCATAAAATTCCAGCAACTAGTTGAATACTCAGTTGTCTCTTTCTTCTCAGAACACCTGATGGGTGTGTGGCTTGTACTTCACAGGCTAGCCCAACACAGAGCAGGTACTTCATAAAAAAAAATTAGCTTCACAAGTGAATGAATGAAAAAAATATTTGGGAGGTGGTCCGACTGACCAGGAAAAAAATTCAGAGAACATACCTTTCAACGTGACCCTGTCCTAAATATATATTCAATCATTCAACTTATTTTTCATTGAGTGCCTGCCATGTCAGGTCCTGTGCTAAGTTCCAGTGATACAAGACAGATATGAGTCCCTACTTTCAAGGATTGTAGGGGCAGACATGAATAAATAATTATAAGTGTGATGAATGATGCAAAGAGTGAAGGAGAGGGAACTATTGGGGGGAGGAGAGTATGATGTTCAACTTACCTGGGTAGGGTGTCGGCAAATGCCTTGTAAGCCAAGATCTGACAAATGATGAGGAGCAAGCATGGAGGGAAGAGTGTTTTAGGGAATGGAGGTAACATGTGCAAAAGTCCTGCAGGATGAGGAAGTGTGGTGCCTCCAAAGGACCAAAGACTACTAGAGCTGGAGCTTAGAGAGTAAGAGAGAGACAAAAAAAATGAAGCCAGGGAAGCAAATGGGACACACACCACAGGAGACTTTGTAAACCTTCCTGCATTAGTCAGGATGAGCTAGGTTATGCTATGGTAATAAACAGCCCCTGTATCTCAGTGGCTTCACAAAGAAAAAGTTATTTCGAATCCACATTACATGTTCAGCACAGAATGGTGAGAGGCTGTGCTCACACAGTCACTGAGGAACCCAGACTGATGAGGCTGGGCCGTCTTGTAGCAGTGCCATCTGGAACATATGGACTTCCTAGGTTTCATGGCGGGGAAGAGTAAAGAAGAGTGAGCTGTGTATCAGCAAAGGCCTCAGCTCTGTGACATTTGTCACTCCCACTCATAGTCCATTGGCCTGAACCAGTCACATAGTCCCACCTGGCTTGAAATCAGCTGAGAAGTATAGGGGACTACTTGGAGTATTTGCTGAGCATCCTCACCTCTGCCATATCATAAGAAGTTTGGACTTGACCCAGAAGTCAGAAGACACCACTGATAAATTTAAAGTAAGGCAGTGACTCCATCAGATTTGGGGTTCTTAAAGATTGCTCTGGATGCAGTAGGAAGAATAATTTGAGGAGGAGGGATTTTTAAAAAGCAGAAAGATCAATTAGGAGGCTACTACATGGCTCAGTTAGAAAATGATTGTAGCTTTGACTAGTAGATTGGAAACAACTGGACAGATTCCAGGACCTTTTAGGAGGTAGATCCACAGGAGCGGGGGATAGGGGTGAGGAAGTGGTCAAGGATCACGCCCCATTTTCGGATTTGTGTGTCTAGGTCAGTGGTAGAGCCATTTGCTGGATCAAGCAACATATGCTGAAGAGGAACAATTACGATGTTTGGGAGATAACCGTTA